TGGTAAAAATTGTAAGTGAAGGCATGATAGGAGGATATAGGAAATATGAACAGCCCAGGGCAGAAGGGGAGATACCAAAACTGTTTAGCACACTTTTGGTCAAAGGATCGGCTTCACGTGTCTCTTTGACGAGTTGTTGTGTGGTGCTAAGAATGGCGAGACTTACTGACGATGAAGGCGAAACGTCTTGGAATGTACCACGTCCATGGTCCGACTTTGGAAATTATCATGCATACAACGGGCTCCGGACTAGATACGTTTCTCTAAGTCTTCCTACCAATATGAACAAGTTGCGAAAACAAGGTCAAACAACCTCTCAATTTAATTCCCTTAACAAATTCATTTGATATTAAGGCTAAGCTCCTAGGAGGCTCAAACTTGGTGTATGTGGGATAGATTGATATAGAATTAAGTAAAGCGTCATAGAATACTTATGTGGATATAATATATAAAAAGATAGGATTACAAGTAAGCAAGAACTCCCTTAAAAAGAATTAAGTATTATTTCAGAGAAAGATAATATTCTATTTACAAAATGTGTGAAACGGAAAACATATATTTTTATCCCGAATATGTGAACGAATAAAATGTATCAATAAGTTTTAAAAGTTGCTTGACCTTATTTTCGCAACTTGGTCATATTGGTGGAAAGGCCTAGAGGAACGCACCTAGTCCGGAGTCCATACTATGCATGATAATTTTCAGGGTCGGACCATAAACGTGGTGCCGTAGACGTTTCTTCGGCATCGTCGGTGGGCCTTGCCATTTTTTGGATAAACTACAACTTCTCATAGACAAGTGAAGTCGATCCTTTGATCAATTGTCTGTTAAACAATTGTGGTCTCCCCTTCTTCCCTGAGCTATTCACCAATCCTTATCCTCGTATTAACCCTTTACTATCACAATTTCGTATTTAAACGTGGCATAGCGTGCCCTTTTTTAGCGGATTTTATGAGAACTCTTCAAGCCTCACACTGGCCTTATCAGTCCTTCACCCTACAATCCTCTTCCCATAGGTCGTGTCAGTCTCCATCTTGCCCCGTTGAATCCGCCTCCTACTTTCCTGGTTCATGTATTTCACTCGACCCTTGTTACACTAACCGTACTACTCGAAGCGTTATTTCCCACGCTGTCTCAAGCTTTTGATGGCACCTATACTTCCGCTTCGTTTAGTCAGCCACTAAAAATCCTGATTCTCAAGCAGGATGAAGACTAACTTGAAGCTAAAGACCCCGATTAATTCTTCTAATAAGGCCTTTGCTTTTTGGACCACGTCTATGATCAAGCACGCCTACAGCTGGCCAAGTAACTCTAGTCTCCGTCGCATATATCGTCCTTTTATCAATAGTGCCAAATCGATCACTTCATATCCCTAGTCTCTTGTGTGCCGACGCACAAATGTTGTGGTTCTACTTGCTTTGAATAGGTTCTACGTAGAATCACAACATTTGTGGGTTAGCACATAAGAGACTATAGCATATGAAGCCATAGACTTGCATTATGAATAGAAGCATGATAGATGGCTTACAACAGACGTGTTTGATCATAGACGTGGTCCATTAAATAAATAATTGACGATGAGAATTACTCGGGCTCTTTAGCCTCAAGTTAGTCTCCCATCCAGCAAGGTGCCATCAAAGGCGCGAGACTTGGTAGCAAGTCCACAGCCTGGGGTTGAGATGTATGATAACTACCATGGTAGAGGACTTCTAAAAAGGTGCGTTCAACTAAGTCCCGCTAATAACATGATCAAGTTGCAAAAAAAGGTCAACCCACTTCTATACATTTATAAATTTTATAAACTGCTTAGGAGACAACTCAAGGCAGCTTACAACCTCGTTTTTCAAAGCCCTCTAACTAAATTCACTTAAAGTTCGCAACCTACCCGACGATTAAGTTCTTTAACTTCAAGGTAGGCGGCAGAGCCATGACCAGACAATAGAGCCGTGCTGATGAGCAGGTGACTTGCAGTACGACGCCGATCCTCGTCTTCAGCAAAATAGGGAAGAAGGAGGGCCCAGGTAGCTGCCGTCTCGAGACGCCGGATATCGTTTTGGCGGCGCAAGATGTCGACTGGAAAATTAGGATCAAGAAGAATAAAACAATATGGTAAATCAGCAGCAAATTAAATTTAGCAAGTGTAAAACACTAGATAAGGTTGCATTTAAAAATGGAGCAGTAAAATGAAGCAATAAAATATATAAGGCTAAATTTAACTCGTATTGTGATAGAATATGCAAGAATAGGAATTAACTTCCAATCACACAAAACTTATGGAATGAAGATTAGAAGCTCATGAGTATGGCCATGAGAAGCCTACGACTCACCGATTCTGAGTAAGTGGAAGAGAAACAAACTCAGATAGATATCTCTTGTGAAATAGGAAAGTAAAGGCTAGAAACATGCAGATTGTACACAATTAGAGGTTTCTATCAAATTCTTTAGGGTGTGCAAACTGACCGAGGGAGTTTGACTATAGAGGATACAAATCAACACATACATACACAAGTGATTAGAACCTTAGGATGAGATTTGACTGTCAACAGGGGATAAGAGAGTTTATTACTAGATTCAGGAGTGCAAAGGGAAGCAGTGCATTTGCACCAGCGGCTCCGAATTAAGCTAGACATGGAAATAAAGAATGAGATACAATAGAAGTATGGATGATAAAAAGAATAACTGGGTCATGGGTCTGAAGCCTATGGAGAGGAAGATGCATAGTCATGAGAATCATCTGTATAAAAATCTTGAACATGAAGCAAACGGGAAATAAAATTGAAGGCTCATAGGCAGTCATATTTCAGGCAACCAGACAGAGATTTTCATGCGGCAGGGAATAACTGAAAAGCGGAGTGGAGAGGGGCTAAATAAAAATTAAAAGAAATAATCCAGAAGCCCTATAAACGCTATCTGAAGCCGGCGGTGAAGGTGATTATGTTTTACTAAATCCACTTCAAGCAACACTCTTAGGCGACATCAGAGGAAATGATTTTACGGAATGGTGTGATTAGTTAAATGGACGATATGAAGTGGGTTGAGAAAGAGATGCAGCACTAGAATGTAGACAAAAAAGTAGATGCGAGGAGTAATGCTACAAAATTTGACAGAAAATTTATCGAGATTGCCTTCACTTTTTACTTCGTAACTTTGTGCTAACAATAGCGCTTATCACTGACGATGTCGGAGTCTGGGAATGTACCGAGTCAACGGTCTGAAGCTGAAAATCATGAATACTATGATAAAGACGCAGGACTAGGTAGGTTACACAAGGTCTTATCGTTGCCCCGAATAATTTGTGAAAACAAAGTCAAAACAACACAATATAACTAAAGTAGACTGCGAACTATACAAAAGGCCAGACCATCTTAGTCTTCATATTTACCAGCTATGATTAGCTTGTCTGTATCAACCTTATATCGATATAATAAAGTTGAATGCAATTCCTTAGTATTCAGGACCTTCATTAGAATGAAATAAATGATATGCTTTAGTGATAAGCCAAATTGGCTCCCGAAATCACAAGCTATGCGAAGGACTTGTCTCAATCTATATCTTTGAATAGAGGCATTTAGCCTTTATCCTAGGCAAGCTCGTATATGGGGCAACAGTAAGACCAACAAAGAAAAGAGGACTGGATCAAAGTAATACTTTTAATTTTAAGAAAATAAATCGCAAGGAGTCCAGAAATAAACAATCAGAAAGCAAAAGGAGACGTCTACAATGAATCAAATCAAAACAGGATGTTACAGAAGCAATAGTCTACCTTATTGAGCTTCAAACATATGAATTTTGCTATTTTGTGTGCATCTCCATGCTTGTTTTGACCCTTAACCTTAGTTGTTTACCATACTTGTGTATCTTCGATAGTCCGTCGACTGCCGATAGTCTTGCGTCATATTTAATTATAGAATTCATGATCCATCTGTTGATTCCTCTGCTATGTACTTTTTAGCAAATATTCAGTGTCCCCTAGATATTCATGGCCCGATCATTCCTTAAGTCTACAATGAGCCTAATTAAAACAAATATAACCACATAATTTGAGGGTTAGCACACAAGAGACTAGGGATAGGAAGTCATAGACTTGGCATTATGTATAGAAGCATGATAAATGGGGCAGAGACTAGAGCCAGTTGGCTTAGGGTAGATGTATATTGTCATTTTCGTATGAGAGTAGTTTCCAGACTACCAGTAAATCAGTATAATGAGATGTATTCACCCTATTTCGTCTAAGGTGATGAAGGACTGGTAGTAGAATTTTGCCACAATGATGAGTTGAGCTGACGTTGCCACTGAATTTCACATAGCCTTGCTTCCCCAAAAGTTGTTCTCATCCAGGGTGGACTGCAGTTTCGACCTCGCA